AGGACAGGCATTTTAGTGCCAGATCTAAGCTCCTGGGGTCAGCATTGTGCCTCAGTCATCCTGCTAACTGGTGCCTTCCTAGACTCTCTATTATAGATTTCCAGTCCCTACTCCAGACCCAGTTTGTATTCCTTGGCCTCTTTGAATGGAGCTAACCTCCCAGGCGACCTGGTTAATAAAAAATCATGAGGAGCCCCATCACAACATGATACACACTGGTGGAAACTCCCCTATGGGTACCCAGACACTCACACTTGCACACAGCCAAGATAGCTAACTCCATGTCTTCTCCATGAAGCAGTCATGTGGGATATGACTCCTTGGTGGGTCTTCCTTGGTCACTGTTTGTAAGACATTTCTTACAACCCCTGCCTTAGGGGTCCCTGTACCGTGGCAGAGTGAAACCAATAATGGTGACAGCTCCTGCTTTATTCTAACAATCAGGGAGTGAAAGCTAGCTTCTTCCTCTCCTTGGAGATTACTGTAGTAACCCTGACATTGTCGTGAGTTGCAGTATTGGCATTTAAACAATCAATAATATACTGGTCTATTCTAGGGATTAAACAGCAGAGTTTGATATGTGCAGTGGACATTAATATGATTTTCTCAAAGCATTGTAAGCCACATGGGGCCATTCAGGCATGCGGTGGGTGGACAGGGAGGAAGGAAGGCAAGACAGGAGGAGTTGGACCAGAAGCAGAGGCAGAGAAAGGCCCACAACTGGCCTGCTGTGTTTTTCTCTCCACTAACATGGTGAATGAAGGGCCAGCTGTGGCTAACCATTTGTATTTCCTGGGAAGCTAGGGTCCTCCTGTAACTGGAGTGTTTTTATTCTTTCATTCATCTCCTTTTGGATACAGGCCTAGGATTAGGGGAAGACCTGGGCTTGTTGCTATTGCTGATCTATCTCTAGATCCTTTTAATTATTGTTTGGGAGTCATCTTCTGGTGGCCTACACATAGGGGTCACTCCAGGCATGTCCCTGGAAGCCCCAAGACAACAGTGGACAAGGGCCAGCAAGATCTTTCTGGAAAGGGTCATATAATAAATAATTCAGGTATTGGCCGTACAGTCTCTGTTACAGCTGATTAGCTCTGCCATTGTAGTTGTCAAAGCAGCCATAGGTGATACCTAAATGAATAAGATTGGCAGTGTTGCAGTACAATTTTATTAGAAAGTGAATTTCATATAATTTTTCACATATTATGAAGTATTCTTCTTTTAAATTCTTTCGCCCTTTTAAAATACAAGGAACAGTCTTATCTTACTGGTCATGGCCATACAAAAACAGGTGGTAGGCGATGGTTTGCCAGGATATCATGTTCTACCTACAGAAGCAGCAGTGCACTGTGAAACCTCATTGATGAGCCTGTAACTCAAAAGTTAAATTTTGGAGCTGAGACCAACACAGGTTTTGACCATTTTCTCAACATCTCAGCAAGAGAGACAGAAACGGCGGCTCATTTTGTCAACAATTTCATGGGAACTAATAATTCTCTTTTCAAAAAACATAAATATTGCTATTTCCTCTTATTTGCCCCCTGACAATCATTATGAAAGATCTCCTGCTTGTATGTATGGGCATGCCTTTCTGAAAGAAGTATATGGGTATATGTTTTGATATATTTATCATAGCAATATAATATGTACACACATACTCAAATTATAAATATATATGGCATGTATATAACACTGATAAAATAAAAATAATAGCACATGGTAGCATCTAGTAAGCACTCTGCATATGTTTACTCGACCCTTTACAAAAATGGTGTTTCTCACTTTACAAAAATGGTGTTCCTCAACGCTGTGAGGTCTTTTCTCCAGTGCTCATGCGCTCCTCCCTGTTGCAGACGCGAAGTGAAGCTGCCATGACCGTTCTGAGTGGCCACGTCGTGGTCTGCATCTTCGGCGATGTCAGCTCAGCCCTGATTGGCCTCCGGAACCTTGTGATGCCCCTCCGTGCCAGCAACTTTCATTACCACGAGCTCAAGCACATTGTGTTTGTGGGTTCCATTGAGTACCTCAAACGGGAGTGGGAGACACTGCATAACTTCCCCAAAGTGTCCATATTGCCTGTAAGTCGAAGGTCACATTACTGATGCTTTTTTTCTTTTCATTCACAAAAGAAAATCCCAGATGGATATAATAGTTTTAGCTTTGATTAGGCTTCTGCTGCTTCATCTGGTTATGGGCCTGAGAACTTCCCCTCTGCTCTGTCCAGGAATGTCCTAATCCTAGGAGACCTTTTGCAGCCAAGTTCAGTCACTCATCAGGTATGAAGTTTACCTGGTAACAAGTTTATTAACCATATCGATGTCTAAACACTCTCTTGCCTATCCAAACCTAGCGCTTTGGATATACCTCTGTAGCAGCATGCCTATATGCAGATGCCTATAGACAATGATGCCTATAGCAGAATTTAATTAGAGAACTATTGATATAATTTTATTTATGACATTCTTAATGTTTGGGGAAATCTTGATTGTGCCACATTCTGTTTTGAACTAAATGTATTAAAGGAGTTTTTTATTTATTTGTGCTGTATGGAAGGCCAACCCCTTCTGCTGGTCACCTCCTACCTCCCATTCATTTAGAATCCCAGCAGTGTGTGTGTGTCCATATATGTGCATTTGATATTCTTGATTCTAAAACATTAGGATCCAAATCTAAAAGCAACAGTTTGGGACTACACAATTTAGTGTAAGGACATGGGATATATGATCTGGGAGTAATGTAACTAACCACTTCTTCATCATTAATCAACGTATTTTCCATACTCTCCCAAGAAATTCTAGGTTTTGTACATTTCAACATTTAGTATAGTTCTCCATGTCACAAACCCACACGCATAGCCCTTTTCCTGCAAAGGTTTTTCTCAGAAGTTTACATCCCTAAAACTGAGGAACATGGATTTGATGCTATATTCAAGGGACCTGGGTTTTTTCCCACTTCTGGAGATGGAGTCCATTGTTTCTATTATAATCTTTTAGAACCTCAGAAAAAAAGGCAAGTAATATAATTCAATAAGGAACGTATAAGAATCTATGCCCAAGTAGTACCCATTAGAAGCCACTGTTTGTCCTTACATCATCACTGGTACAATGGGTGCTCAATGAATATTTAAGGAAGTGAGAAAACACAGATACCTTTTGGATGCTGGGTCAAAAATCCACTGACTTAGTGAACACATGTAGTTAAAAATAGTCACCTGTAGAGAAACAAAGTCATATATATAGAAGAGCATAAATAAATATATATATCTTGCTAATTTCAGACATGATAGATTTGGTTATAGATGTCTATGATTATCTTCCTGTTTGTGCTTTTCCACAGGGTTCCTTGGGAACACACAGGCTGGGGCCTAAAAAGTATTTTGTGAAGAGCTTATTGTTGAGCTGGGCTACATGAGTCTGTGTGTGTGTGTGTGTGTGTGTGTGTGTATGTGTGTTTCCTTCGGCATGCCCTTGTACATTGCACTCACCTGCCAGCCTATATATGAATAAGCTGTCCTATTTGCAGGTCCTGTTCAAAGCCTCCAAAATTTAGCATGCTTAACACAACATGTTTGTACCAAATGGACCTTCACCTACATCTAAACATCTTTTATTGTTTAAACAGTGTCTTAAGTATAGGGCCAACCCAGAGAAATACAAGGTGTTTCTATGTATATCATTTGTATTTCTTGAGTTTTGAAATCATATGTATATAACTGCACAGGGATTGTCTTATATCACAATTACTGCCGGATTCCCTACAAGGTGAAAATTAAAAGAATATGGATGTAGGCAATTGAGGCTTATGCACTGGCAAACTGATTCAGGAAGTTAGTCAGACTTTGTACCAAGAGATCCCAGGAAAAGAGGAGATCCTTCTTCTCTCAAAAGATACTTCTTTGGAGCCTGGAACTGGTAGCTTCCCAGCCCCATAGCACTAAATGCCTCTTCCTCCATAATTCCACTTTGTGGCAACATTTTGGGGTCTGAGAATAGAATCATGACTGTCAGTGAGTCATAAAAGATGGTTGATCGTTTCCCTCTCTGCAGCCAAATCCCATCTCCTCAAAGTCCCTGCTCCAGGAAGGAGAAATGGAGGAAGCCATCCAGAGATCGATGGCAGTTGGCAAACCCTCTCCCTACACAGTCAGTGAGTTGAAGGTGATTCAAGTCTCCATACAGGCAAAGCAGAAGCGGGCTGGAGAACCAGCCAGGCTGGTGGCTGGATGTGAATTCCAAAATGATGCCACATGGCTCTTGCGGAGCTCTGACATCGGATGGCCTGATTAATTCTGCTGTGACCCCTCCTGAGGACACACAGCACGTGGAGGCCATGTCCCTCCCTTCCAACACTAACCCTTCTATGTTACCTGTGGCTGTATTCCTGCCTCTCTGTCTTTACCCCCTTGATCCAGGTTTTTTCCCACTGTTTTTTGTTGTATTGGGATTTTTAAGAAATCTGTTTACTGGCTTATTTATTTTTAATTATACCAGTAACATACAACTATGTTCTTGTTATAAAATATTCAAACAATACATAAGTATATAAAGTCAAAAACAAACTTTTCCTTTGCCCCCAATCTTATTCTCCTCCCCAGAGGTAATTACTGTTATTAGTTTAGTATGTATTTTTCCTGAACTTTCTCTCTGAATATACATACATTTATAAATACATTCATAAATATATAGCTTTATTTTGTGAGTTTCTTTTTACATAAGTGAAATCATGCTTTCGAATTATCTAGAACTTGTGGTTTTTGTTTTCTTCTGTTTTGTTTTTACTTATCCATTTCTTTGAGGGACCCTTCCAAGTCAGTGCCTACGTGGAGAGCCGGTTCAGTCCCTTTAGCTGCTGCATAGACTTCCATTGTATATATATATCCGATGATGTATTTAACCTTTCCTGTGTTTCTTGGGCAGTTAGGAAATTCTCTCTTTTTTTATTGCTGAAAATATTCAAGAAAGTGATATGACCTGAAGTTTAACTCCTTTCCATCTCCCCTTGGCAAGACGCACGTTAATTCCACTGCCTCCCTCATCCTGCAGACTGAGCAGGGCCTTCAGCCCCACCTCATCACACCATGCCCACTGGCTATTTCCCCTTGGCTGCATTGGAGAGTCTAGTTGAAGCTGCTGTCTTTTCCCTGAGACAGAAGTGACCTGCTATTAAATAAACAGCCATTGGAAACCCACCTCCTTGTTACATTCTGAAAGCCGACGTTGCCACAGGACAGTTACTTAAATCAAGACAATTTCCAGGCAGGAAGAAGATGTAGAACCCTGGCATTATTCCTCTCCCTCGTTTGTTAGTAATAGCTTGATTGAGTATTGAGAGCAAGCCCAAAATGCTGCCGTCAGCACCGACTACCCTTTAGATTAGCACACAGCTCCTATTCCCTTGAATGTAGTTAGGCCAGCTTAATGTCAAGGCATAAAAAAGATACTTGTTAAATAATTTCCCAAAGCTCCGGCTCGATCTTTAATTTGTTTTTATTTTTTCCCCTTTCCCTCTTCTTCCTCAGTCTCACTTTTGCCTCTGCTTTTTTTTTTTCTTTCCTCTATGCCAAAGGGTACGCCATTAAGTCGGGCTGATTTAAGGGCCGTCAACATCAACCTCTGTGACATGTGCGTTATCCTGTCAGCCAATCAGAATAATATTGATGATACTTCGCTGCAGGACAAGGAATGCATCTTGGCGTCACTCAACATCAAATCTATGCAGTTTGATGACAGCATCGGGGTCTTACAGGCTAATTCCCAAGGTAAGGACAGCCTGTAATACTTCTCTGCTGTGCCTATGGGGGACAGGCACTGGCAAGAGGGATATCCTTCACTCAGTAATTCAAAGAGGCTCACATCAGCCTGCCTGGCAGTGAAACCTGCAGTTGCTGTTACGGCTTTCAAAGGGGCATCTGCTGCCTCTTCTTGCCATCCTGGGAAGCAGGCTTGAGACCTGAACACCCATACTCAGAATAAGCTGCCTTCCCAGAATATAAACCAGTCTTTAAATTGCCATCTCCTAAGCCTTCTCAAACAGTGGCTTTATGACGAGGGTCACCAGTTAAATGTCAGAGCCCTGAAAAGATGCTGGCTGAAAAATTCCCTGTGTTTCCCCTTAGTATATATTTTTGCCATTGACCTGTGTTAAGCTGTGCCATTGTTTTAGCTGCATGGGGGTTTTAAGCTTTATGCTGTTACATGCTGACCAAGGAGTGGTGATCTCAGGGAGTAAGGACTATATGGACACTAGAAGTCATTTAGCAAGAGGTGACACACATCTGCCCTCTCAGCTCTGCACCGACCTTTCCTGTCATTTTCTCCTGGGAACATAGCTACAAGTAGAGACGTCATCAGGGAGGCTCAGAGAGACAGTGCAGCAAAACCCCAAACAAACAATCTCCCTGATCAAGGCCTTGGCAGGATAGGATGTGAAGCATTTTCCTCTGAGTAACACCTCTGTGTAGGCTTGCCATGAACTGTAGGATCATTGTCACATGTGGTCTACTGGATGGGTGGCATTGGGGGCCTGATGGGCCCCCCTTCTTGATTGACAGTAGGGGGAGCACAGCCCATGAGAACAACAGCTGCCAGGATAAAGTGCTATCTCATTGATAAGATAAAACTCAACTTGGTTGTGCAGCCTGGACCTGGGTGTTACATTATCTTTTGTCAACTCAGCCCATCCTTCTGACATCTGCCCAGCATTGCAGAGAAGCCAGGAACAGTAGTCTGTTGAAGCCTCTCCCCTGAGTGGTTCTGGGCTGCCGTCTGCCAGCAAGCAGGGGGCATGGGAGCAAGATCTGGGAACCAGCAGAGAAACAGAGGCATTGAGTCTTTGGAGGCAGCTGCAGCCAGACTCTGAGCAGATGTGAGTTCAAAGCTGCTCTCAGGGACACTGTCTCAGAACCACTGACTTTGCTTCTAGGGACTAACAGGAGGATGTGGGGTTCTCCAGGAGTCTTGAGATTCACAGAAGCTGCTGGTGAAGCCCAGGAAAAACTTCCACTTGGTGTTACAATAAAGTGACTAATGGTGGCCTCGTGCTCCTTCAGCCCTTCCAATGGTTGTGTCAACCTCTAATTTTCTTCGCACTTGGAACAGAGTGGCTTCTATTCCAGACACAGCCCTAACTGATACAGCCTGAAGCACTATTTTGACCTCTCTGCTCCACCATCTTCCCTCTCAGCTCCACATCTGAATCTTGGTATCCTTGCTCAGCCATGCCTGCAGGGCAGGGTACCATGTCACAGCTCTACGAGAGAGCTCTTCTCTACACAGATGCAGGCTGGGGAGCCAGGGCCTGCCTCCTGCACGGCCTGCTCAGGGAGGTGATAAGGGTATGCGGAGATAGTACACTGGCCTTCTAGGGTGTGGAAGAGACAGGCTACCTTTTAGCTCCTGCTTCACATACTTGCTCTTCAGTGTGTGTCCTCCCACCCCTGTCCCAGCATGGGCATCACCTGGGGAGCTTATTGGATGTGCAGAATCTCATGCCCACCCCAGACCTGCTGGGGCAGACTCTGCATTCTTACAGGTCCCCAGGTGTCTCGTGCACAATAAATCTGCACACTCATGAAACCTAGCCCAGTGAATGTGCTGACCAACCTGATCAGTCGTTCCTCCCCGGGCAGGAACCAGCAAGGGGAATGGGCAGACGCTGGAGCAGAAGAGCTCCTTTTGGGTGGAGATAGGACTGAGGAGGAGGGACAGGAAACACTCCCCCCGCCCTAATGGGCCTAATCCCTCCAATTCAGTAATTGTGATTTCCAATCTACAGATTAGAATCTCAAAGTATATTGAGTCACACATGAAGCTGATATAGGTGTCCCTTCCGGCTCTCATAAACCTTATCCCAGCTTCTCAAATCCAATATGATGGCCAGACTGGTAAAATGCCTTCCCTCCTCTCTGTAGTTACTCACCCAATTCTCAATTACTGTTTTAGCACAGGAATAAGCAAGAAAAATAGATTTTGATGGGAGATAAGGAAGAAGAGAAAGAGAACTCATTTTTTTCTGGACAAAAAGAAAGAGAGAGGCAGTACTTCACACACACACACACACCACAAAGACAAAGGAAGGCAGAGGATGTGCTCTGTAGCCAGTAGCGATTTTCATAGACTCTTGGTCAGCAGTGGGGTGGAGCAGTGCTCCTCCAGTACCAGCAAGCAGACTCTTCTCTCCATGACTGTCAGCGCTGTAGACACACACACACCACAAAGACAAAGGAAGGCAGAGGATGTGCTCTGTAGCCAGTAGCGATTTTCATAGACTCTTGGTCAGCAGTGGGGTGGAGCAGTGCTCCTCCAGTACCAGCAAGCAGACTCTTCTCTCCATGACTGTCAGCGCTGTAGGACCATTAAGCCCACATTTCCCTTCTTTTTCTTTGTCTGTCTGCCCCTGTCTTGTCCTTGGTTTCTCATACTCTCTTCTGGTGACACTCTGACCTTCCAGGAGGCATGGCCATCAACATGATATGTTGCTTACTCCCCAGTGGGTGGGCGCTGATGGCCTCTGGCTGCTTACCACGCAGCTCATCCCTTGGGTTTGTCCCAGCCTGCCGGGCCAGGTGGGCAAACAGAGTTCCTCTGCCACTGTCCCTCCTTGGCATCCTTTTGACCAACTGGAGGGCTCACTGGCCTCAGATGCTTTTATTACCCTTCATCCAGGCATTTGGCATGACCACACTCCAGGTGGATTCGAAGCAGAGAGTACAAAATAGATTTTAGTTACTCTTTTCATTTTGTGAAACAAATCTAACTTCCCCAGAGTGATACCTACATAGATTTCTGGCTGCTGTCATCCGATTTTCATCACTATTTATTCTAAAGTCCTTCTGAAACCCCATCCTCTGCTTTTCCCTGAGAGCTATGTTACCGTCTCTCCAGAAAGCAGCAGACAGATACGTGGACTCAGGACCAATGTGTGTGCTCTTAGACTAGAGTGTTCATGCATCCTTAAGGAAAAACTAACATGATATAATGTAACATGAGAAATGTGTGTTAACATTGAGAAGGTAGAGTCTTCCTTGGGATTTGTGTTCAGACACTTATCATTGGGTGTTACTTGGTCTCCTAGGCCAGCAAAACCTTCTTTCCCTTTCTGCATTTCTGTTTGGTGTCACTATTCCAGGCCACATGGTGTCAGAACTGACCCAGCCTAGGGAACATGGATCAGACACTTTCTGAAAAGATCTGAGATGTGATGGCTGGTTGTCAGAAACAATTACAGAGAAAGGTGGCATACCCAAAGCTAGACGGTATATCCGATGTGACAGTTGGGTCTATGAGATGCAGTTTTAATATACAGCAGGCAAGACTCCAGTGACAATTATATAAAGCAGGTGAAGCTGCTTCTTGCTGGTCAGCAAACATCAGCTCAGAACCACTTTACAGTTCTTTACCAGCAACTAAGTGCCTTTATTTACAGAGCGCCTGTCACTTCCCTTTGGCTGGAGAGCTGGTGTATTATTTAGCACACATTTATCTGGGGAAAACATTTCAATTTAAATCAGCTGGTACAACGGTGGCTCTTGCCAGACTATTTCCCTGTGGTTCTAAAAGACAAGAACTGAGTCTGGTTTGGGAAGGGAGGGTGAGCAGAGGGAGGGAGAGTGCATTCTCAGAGAGCCACTTGAGGCAGTAGCTGAAAAGAGGGAGCTTGTGATTGAGTTTCCCATCGTGCTTTTAGATCAGTTCATGAAATGGGCATCTATGGTTTCTTCCTGCTTAGTCTCCCAATAAGAGTAACTCTTAAGAAAAGAAAGAGGAATAAATGAGTACCTTATGTACTATGTGTCAGGCTTTATAAAGACCCAGGACCCAAAGATGAGTTTGATTCAGCCACTATCCTTGAGGGGCTCAGGTGAGTGGAAGAGGCACCCCATAAACAATCACAGTGTGGTGAGACAAGGACCAGATTAGAAACACAGGAGTGCAGAGGGCCCTTAAGTTTATATATTTCAAGGAGTGAGAAGGCTTCCAGAAGAGGTGACATTTGTGGATGAGTTGCTATTTAGCATTTAAAATATAGCTAGTGTGCATAAGAGGAAAACAAATCCTACCATTTACAACATCTTGGATGGAGCTAGAGGATATTATGCTCAGTGAAATAAGCCAGGCAGAGAAAGACAAGTACCAAATGATGTCACTCATTTGTGGAGTGTAACAACAAAGCAAAACCGAAGGAACAAAACAGCAGCAGACTCACAGACTCCAAGAAGGGACTAGTGGTCACCAAAGGGAAGGGACTCTGGAGAGTGGGTAGGGAGGGAAGGAGAAGGCGATTAAGGGGCATTATGATTAGCACACATAATGTAGTTGGGTCACAAGGAAGGCAGTACAGCATAGAGAGGACAAGTAGTGACTCTATAGCATCTTACTATGCTGATGGACAGTGACTGCCATGGGTGAGGGGGGACTTGATAGTATGGGTGAATGTTGAAACCACAATGTTGCTCATGTGAAACCTTCATAAGATTGTATATCAATGATACCTTAATTAAAATAAATAAATACATACATCCATACATAAATAAACAATATGGCTAGGGTGACTGAAAAACTGAATTTTTATTTTATTTTAATAAATTTAAATTTCAATTGTGGCATGTCACTAGTGGCTACCATGTTGGACAGTGTAGCTCTACAGCGTAGACATGCTGCCTTGCTAAGGGTTTGGACTTATGGGAAGATGACGATCAAATCCATGTTTTAAAAAGATAACAGGTAAAAATATGATATGGTTTAGAGGTGGGAAGAGATG